TCTAAACAATTGGTGGTCCCGGCACCAAAAAATAAGCCCCACGTGCCGAAGAAGGTCTATTCTGATTGCCGACACAGGTTGCTGGAGCGGGAAGTCGAACGGCAGTTCGAACGACAGGAATCGCCGATCAGGATAAATGCCCGCCTGGGCGATCCCCGACTGAGAAACATGGGGAGGAAGTCTCCAATACGGAGGATACAAGTCCTGGAATCAACGGCAGAGTCTGATCGAGAGTACGCTCCTTCCACCAATTGGTCATCGTCCTATCGTTCGGCAACGCCGACGAAATTCTCTGAAGTTAACCCTATCAGGTCCCAGCAGCGATCGGTGCATCAAACCGCGGAGGAGATACCAGACAGGGACCCTGTCATCCGCCTCCTTCAAAGGGTACAGAAGATGGAGGACGATCGAACTCGCTCTAAGGAGCCGGACTGGGGAAGGCTCCGGCCAGGACCCTTCACCGAACGCATAAGGCGCTCCCGACAGGACAGAGACGTACAACCCCTACGCATAACCCCTTACACAGGAGTGGAGGACCCACTGACACACCTACATTCTTTCCAATCGGCTGTAGGGTGCCGAGGGCTAAGCGACGAAGGACTGTGCCTTCTGTTCCCCTTTTCGCTCACAGAAGCGGCTCTGAACTGGTTCTACCGTTTGGAACCAGGAACGGTAGATTCCTTCGACGAGCTAAAACAGATTTTCCTGAACCATTTTATGATCCAGACGGACAGACTATATTCTGCGATGATCTGTATACCATCCGGCAGAGAGATGACGAACCATTGCGTGAGTATGCCGCACGATTCAGCCATGAATACTCGAGATGTCCAGATACCGATGACAGGGCAGCCTACGGCGCCTTCAAGAGTGGCCTACGGTCCTCACACTTTCGGTATCTGGTACACAGCAGCAACTGGCGTACGTACGATGAACTCATGAAGCAAGCGGCAATCCACGCCAAAGCTGAATACTTCAACTCGAGGGCCGAGCCCACGGCTCGGCAGAGCGAACCCATACAGAGGTCCTCCACGGCACAGGCATCGCCGTTCGCACCAGCAACCCAAACTGCTGGGTACTCTGAAAGTCACAAGCGCAAAGATGCAGGAAGCTCCCAAAAAGGGCATTCCAAGAAAAACAAGAGTATGTACGGCAGGGACAACTACCGAGCCCCACTACCGGCACATAACCAAGGGACAGAGGTGTTCACTCTGCTCAATACCTCCTACGAGGTGGTGCTGATGAACGAAATAGAGATCATCCCGAAGCCAGCATTCCGAAAGCCCAACCGGCAAGACGGTAGGGATACAGGGAAATTCTGTCGATACCATCAGCAGAACAGCCACAATACCGAGGACTGCATAAGTTTGCGAAAAATCGTTGAGCGGTTGATTCGGGAAGGCAAACTGGATCAGTACATAGCCAGGCCGCAGCAGGCGCCAGTACCGAACGCCAATCGTCAGATCAACATGATCAGCACGATCAGTGGGGGCCCAACCCTTGCCGGGGCATCTAACCGGTCAATGAAGCAGTATGTCAGGGCGGCACAATACCCCCAAGTCCTCGGCATAGAAAGTAGCCGGCACACCAAGATGCCGAAGGTCAGGTGGGAACCCATCACCTTCTCCGAGGAAGAAGAGGAGGGGATCATCTACCCACATGACGACCCTATGATCATCCGAGCCGAAATTGCCAAATTCGATGTCGGACGAATTCTGATCGACACTGGCAGCTCGGTAAACGTCATCTTCGCCGATGCATTCAAAGAACTCGGAATAGATGACAGCCAGGTCAACCGACAACTCTCGCCTCTCCTTAGCTTTTCGGGAGACCTGGTCCAGCCAATCGGCAGTGTCAGTCTGCCAATCTCCTTCGGCACAGCCCCACGAAGGACCATGGTCTACGACCAGTTCCTTGTGGTGGACTGTCCGACGGCCTACAACGTCATAGTTGGTCTAACGGCGCTCATGGCGATAAAGGCCCACTTATCCCCCCACATGCTACTCATGAAGTTCTCCAGCCAATCGGCAGTATCAGTCTGCCAATTTCCTTCGGCACAGCCCCACGAAGGACCATGGTCTACGACCAGTTCCTTGTGGTGGACTGTCCGATGGCCTACAACGTCATAGTTGGCCGAACGGCGCTCACGGCGATAAAGGCCCACTTATCCCCCCACATGCTACTCATGAAGTTCCCTACCTGCTACGGCACGGGGGCAATCAGGGGCGATCAGGTAAGCGCTCGGAAATGCTATGCGACGGCGTTGAAATCAACAGCCCCTCAAAAGCAGAAGGAGACCCTTACGGTCGCAGGCTTGCCGAGCGGCAATGAACCAGTGGACGATCCAAGGGAGGAAATTCCCACTCCGGTGGCACAACCTGCCTAAGATCTCGAAACCGTGGCACTAGACGAAAGTCAGCCGGACCGGTGCGTCCGGATCGGTACCATGCTGAACGCCGCCCTCCGTGCCGAATTCATCCAGTTCCTTCGACAGAATTCAGAGGTCTTTGCCTGATCCTACAACGACATGCCGGGCATATCCCCTGATATCATCAGCCACAAGCTGAGCATCTCGCCAGCATTCAAACCGGTCAGGCAAAAGCGCCGATCCTATGATACCGAACGGTATGAAGCCATGAAGAACGAAGTGGACAAACTCATGACCATAGGCTTCATACGAGA